GGTTCTGTCATCAACTTCACAGGCATGTTGGGGGTTTTAAATGGAAACCATGCACAGAGTGGACATGGTGTCTCTCCGAACAGCCCAGGTAGGCTAGAAGGCAGATCAAAGATGTCCTGGGGTATTTCTTTGGTCATTATATAGGGAAATGAAATCATATCTAAGCTGTAATCATTTGTAACTTACCATATTGAAAGTTGGTTTTTTTTTTTCGAGTTTAGACTTTGTAATCAAATCTTAGACTCAGGCCTCTGTGATGTTTCATGTTTACTTTCCACTTATACTGTGATAGATTTTGAGCTGTTCAGCGTATGATCCCTACTGTAGTGATGGGATCTGAAAATTCATTCAGGAAGAAAATCACAGGGATTCCGGCTAGTCGGCTCAAAAGAGAGTCGGTTTTTAGGCGCTCCTGTTGTGACTCTTGGCCACTTAGTTCTGGACTCTGGTTCTCTTCCCTTCCACCGCCTTCCCGTCCTCCCACTGCTCATTAGCATTCACCCAAAGTTGAACCAGCAGGTGAAGGAAGTGACACAGAAAGTTACTGTGCGATGAGACAGGGGGGATGGGGGGATGGGGGTGGGAGGGATATTATCCATGGTGGTGGAAAATGGGCACTGGTGGAGGGATGGGTATCTGATCATTGTATAATTGAAACCAAAGCACAAAAAATTGTAAATCTACAACTTTAAAAAAAAATAAAATACAATAAAGGGAAAAAAAAAAAGAAAAGAAAGTTACTGTGCGAGACTCTTAACGATTCTAGTTTGTGTGTTTGTATTAGAAGATCTTAAGTGTTGTTTTGCTCTTCCTTTCCTTTTTTTTTTAATTTTTATAGTGAAACACCATAGGTACAGTTGTAGACTTACAAATTTTTGTGCTTGGATTTCAACTTGATAGCATTTAAATAAGATCTTTAACTTGTTCATCTCAAATAAAATACTACTGTTTTTATTCACACAAGTAGTCATATAGTGAGCCCAGTAACGAGCTAACTGTGTTTCAGAGATCAGCATAATTCCCAGACAGCAAACTGAGGTACAACCGAAATTGGGAAAGAAAAAAAAAATTACGTCTCTATACCCACAAAGTTAACATCAGCATTTCAAGAATGTTTCAGATCTGATGTATTATTGTCATCACAAAAATGTAATTCGAATTTTTAAATATGAGGGTAATCTCTTTGTAGGTCTTTTGTGCAACTTGCTGATGGTGACAGATCAGGAATATGAATGCCAGCCTCCAAAAAAGGAAAATGATCTGGAACCATGAAGCTCAGTGGATGGGAGCACATACTCGCATGCATATGTGCTCCAGGTTCCATCCCCAACACTCTATGTTTGCCAGGGACCAAATGGGGATAAGTTCCTGGAGCACCACTGGTGTGGCCCAGGGGCCAAACAGTGTTTTAATTAAAAAAGAAACATGAACCCAGGTGAAGAATATGAACTTGCTTCCAGGTGCAAACTGGTGACTTGGCACTAGTATCAGGAATTCTTATGCTCTGAGGTAGTTACTTTATTATTTATTTCTGTTACTTATCATTAGAGGGCCATTCCTGCTAGCTTTTAATATGACTCCATTCTCTTCATCACCACAGTTCACTCTGGAGACATCTTTTTTGGGGAGGTGGCTCACCCATCTGTGCTCCGGACTTACTCCTAGCTCTGTGCTCAGGGCTTGTCCCATGCACGGCCTGGGGGACCAGATGTGGTTGGTTCGAGGGATCAAACCTGGATTGGCCACGTGCAAATCAAGAGCCTTACCCGCCGTATTACCTCTCTGGCCCCTAGGGACCCCTTCCATGAACTTCTCCTCAGGGAAACCTGACATCTCCTCAGCTTTGGCGAAGCACTTTGAAGTGTGGTGGTTCAAGCTTTCAGGTCCGTGTGAGTCGCCTTTGTCTTCAGCTCCCACGGAATGTTGCTCACTGCATATATGCTTTTCAGTTTTCCTTTGTGATTAGAATCCTTTTACTGGACAGAATTAAAATTTAAAGGCTAAAGGGCTTGAATTTAACATCCCTAACCCCGTGTTCATGTTAGCTGAGTGTTTATATCTTATTTATTATAGTTTCTTGTGGTTTTAACTCGGGAAGTATACAGTATTTATCCTTGCCACTTTCAGCTGTACCATCCCATTCTTACCTCCGCCTCTCTCCCTTGAGGTGTGATTCCATCTCCCTTTACACAGTTTGGAAAAATAGACTGTAATCAAATTGGATTTTTATACCTAGCCAGTCAGGTATTCGTTTTCACCACCATTTTTTTCTCCCCTTCCCTCCCCACCTCCCTTTCCCTTTCCCTTTCCCTTCCACTCTTGTTTTATTGGGCATTATGAGCACACCTGGCAGTGTTCAGGAGTAACTCCTAGAACAGTGCTCAGGGGACCATGTGTGTAATGCCAGTAATAGACCCAGGGCCAGCCACCTGCAGTGCAAGCACCGTATTGTCTCTCCACTTCCTCTGTTTGTTGTGTCGTGCTGCGCATCCAACCCAGGTAGCGGGTCCCTCTAAACTGCCCTCCCCTTTTTTATTTCATTTATTTTATTTTTGATTTATTTTTTGCTTTTTGGGTCACACCCTGCAATGCTCGGGGGTTACTCCTGGCTATGCACTCAGGAATTACTTCCGGTGTTGCTTGGGGGGGACCACATGGGATGCCGGGGATTGAACCCGGCTCGGCTACGAGCAAGGCAGACGCCCTCCCCGCTGTCCTATTGCTCTGGCCCCCATGCCCTCCCCTTTTTAATGCTCCTCTTCCTGCTGTGATACCGCTGTTCCTGTGACCGTGGCCGGGGTCTGACACATCCTTGTACTCACCGCGATATACTCATGCTATTGCTTGGCCACACCCAGGGTTGGGAGTTGTTCCTGAGGGGCTCCTGTAAGCAGCGCAAGTCATCGTTAGGTTGCGGCCCTTGCACGTCCCGCCACGGCGCTCAGCTGGGCTTGCACTTCTACCAGCTCCTTGACACTTCTAGCCGTGGCACTTGCACACAGGGCAGCTGGGGTTCAGACAACTCGCTGTACTGCTCACACACCTTTAGTTGCTCCCACAGCTTTTTTGGATGATCATCACTTAGGAACATGGGTTACAATCTCTGCATCTTAATCCTAGATCTATTTTAGTAGATAATTACCTGATTTAACATACCTCTACGTTTGTTTCTGTTTTACATATGCATTTATTTTGCATATACGCTCGAAAGGGTTGGAGAGGGGCCAGGAGATAGTACAGTGGTTAGGGCACTTGCCTTGCATGTGGCCACCCCAGGTTCCATCCCTGACATCCCATATAGTCCCCTGAGCACCACCAGTAGTGACTTCTGGTACAGAGCCAGGAGTAACCTGTTAGCATTGCCAGGTGTGGCCCAAAAACAAACCCAAAAAAGGGGATTGTGAGGAGAGGACAGTGGGCTGAGTGCCTGGGAGAGGATTTGTATTTAATATACCTCTACATTGCTTTATGTTTTTATGTGATCTGTATGTCAGAAGTAATACCTGAATTGGGGAATACACACATTCGGTATGTATACAGTTGAACTAACACTTTGGAGAGATACCGTGTTACCATGCCACACACACCTACACAAGTATCCCTCCACCATTGTACATAGGATCCTTCCGGTCCAGCATCCATGCTCTCTCATTGATCACCTCAGTTCCCTTGTCAGAGAAAGGCTTGTTTCCAATGAACATTAACTATTGTTCCCTTGCTTTGTTTCTTCTTGGTGGGAGGAGACACACTTGATTGTGCTCAGGGATCAGACCCAGGTCAGCAGCATGCAAGGCAAGCACCTTGCTCATTCTCCAGTCTCTCTGGCCCTGCTTTTTCTTTACATGTCACACATGACTGAGATGCCCAACGTGTGTCTTTCTCTTGACTAAATTGCGTCACTTGGCACCCTCCATTTCCAGCAGTGCTGTAGCAGATGGCACGGTTTTCATCTTTTCTTCTAGCTGGGTATTGTTGCGTTGTGATATGTACACCACAGCTGCTTTATTTACTCAGTTGTTGTTGCACTTGGGTGATTTCCAGATCTTAGCAACTGAAAATAATGCTGTGGTGAACCTGGATGTGCTATATATTTTCACATGATTGTTTTTGTATTCTTGGGATGGATATCAAGGAGCTGATCTGCTGGATTATATAGTAGTTCTGTTTTCAAGTCTCCATACTCTTTTCCAAAATGGAGACTGAATCAGCTTACATCTGAGTTTGCATCTTCACCAACTACGAATGAGGGCTGCTTTTTCACCAGAATAGTTGTTTCTACCCTTTTTGATGTAGGCCATTCTCACTGGGATGAGGTGCTAATCATTTTTGTTTTGATCGGCATCTCATATGCTTGTTGGCCATATGCAGATTCTTCTTTGGGGAAATGTCTATTCATTTCTTCTCCCCAGGACTGTCTTGTTGAGTTTTATGAATACTTAATACATCTTAGATCGCAGCCTTTTGTTAGATATGCATTTGTTTAGTTATGTCTCTAAATCGTATGAGCAAAGGGTTGGAGAGAGAGTCCAGTGGGCTGCATGTGGGAGGCGCAGGTTTGATTCCCCAGCACAGGAGTGACCGCACCATGCTTTGGGCCACTAGCGGAGCTTTATTATTAAATGGTACAGTATTTTGATTTGTGTGTGTTTGTAGATGGTGTCCCAAATTGAACCCAGGGCCTCACACATGTAAGGCAAATGTGTTACTTCTGAGTCATGTCCCTGGCCCCAAGGAGCTTTGCTCGTTAAAGAGCCACTATAGTAAATCCTCTGTCAAAATAAAAAAAAAAAATACCCTTTTTTACGTCTTGTGAACATTTTTTTCATATATCTCTTTTATGGTATCCAAGAAGGAGGAGAAGCTTGTACAACACAGGAGGAATTAAGTCAGTCGTCTGTGCAGAGATGGGAGAGAGAGACCTGCTTAGTATATGTTGACCGGTTGACTCAGGGGAGTGTCCCCTGGACTCCTTCTAATACCTGCCTCTTCTTTCCTGTCAGATCGAGCGCTTGGAAGTAAGTAACCTCGCCCAGACTTCCACTGCAGTGGCCTCCAGCACCGATGGCAGCATCCACACAGATTCTGTGGATGGCACCCCAGACCCTCAGCGCACGAAGGCTGCCATTGCCCACCTGCAGCAGAAGATCTTAAAGCTCACAGAACAGATCAAGATCGCGCAGACGGCCCGGGACGACAACGTCGCCGAGTACCTGAAGCTTGCCAACAGCGCCGACAAGCAGCAGGCGGCCCGGATCAAGCAGGTCTTTGAGAAGAAGAATCAGAAGTCCGCCCAGACCATCCAGCAGCTCCAGAAGAAGCTTGAGCACTACCATCGGAAGCTTCGAGAGGTGGAACAGAATGGGATCCCCCGGCAGCCAAAGGATGTCTTCAGGGACATGCAGCAGGGTCTGAAGGATGTGGGGGCAAAGGTCACTGGCTTCAGTGAAGGGGTGGTGGACAGTGTTAAAGGTGGCCTCTCCAGCTTCTCCCAGGCGACCCATTCCGCAGCAGGGGCCGTGGTCTCAAAGCCCAGAGAGATCGCCTCGCTCATCCGGAATAAATTCGGCAGTGCAGACAACATCCCTAATCTCAAGGACTCTTTAGAGGAAGGGCAAGTGGATGATTCAGGGAAGACTCTGGGGGTGATCTCGAACTTTCAGTCAAGCCCAAAGTATGGTAGTGAGGAAGATTGTTCCAGTGCCACTTCGGGCTCAGTGGGGGCCAATAGCACCACGGGAGGAATTGCTGTAGGAGGGGCCTCCAGCTCCAAGACAAACACCCTGGACATGCAGAGCTCAGGATTCGACGCACTGCTCCACGAGATCCAGGAGATCCGGGAAACCCAAGCTGGACTAGAGGAGTCCTTCGAGACCCTCAAGGAGCATTATCAGAGGGACTACTCGTTAATAATGCAGGCCTTGCAGGAGGAGCGGTATAGGTAAGTGATGTGGAATTTAAAACATAGATGATTCAGGCTTGGGGTTTCCCCTCTTCAGATACGGGGAGCAGATCAGAAGGTGTTGGGCCAGGGCTGTGGTTCACCGGAAACATACATGAAGCTCTGGGTTTAATCCTCACACCCCCCCAAAAAAAAGTTTTTATTTTTTTTTCAGTAGGATGAAAATTTTTTTTTTAGTAAAATTTTCGGAGTGTCTATAGAGCATTTTTCATGTCATGTGTCATCTCTATGAGTTTCTTCATAGAGAGCAAAAGAGAGACATAGGAAAGTTAACTGATTCGTAAGATCACACACCAGTGAGCTCCAGTCTTCTCCTCCAGTTTGAGATTTTCATAGGAGGCTTGCTCGAGCTTTCTCTGGCATCCGAGGATTTACTTAGGATCACAGAACCGCAAGTTACTCATCCTGTAACTATAGTATATTGAGAAAGTATCTTAGCTCTCTGAAGTCTGTCATCAAACACAGTCATAATTTAATGAGCCCTGTAGATATTTGTGGAGTTTGTGTTTTTTAGGGGGATTTGTTTGGCACCACACTGGGCAGTGCTCGGAGGCGACTCCCAGTTCAGGGGTTATTCGCGGCAGTGCTAAGGGGTCATATGGTGCCGGGGATCAAACCCAAGCCTCTCGCATGCAAAACACGTGCTCCATCCCAAGACGCTGTCTCCCCAGCCTGAACTTTGTAGACACTTGGCTATAGCATAGTTATGTGGGAAATTGGCAGAGAAAGATTAGACTGAAAATAAATCCAGATAAACATGTCTGTTACCTTTAGTAGGGATTGGCAACTGTTTGAATGAGAGTGAACTTAAACAAGAATATTTTCATAGTTTGAGAATTCTCCAGGGGCTAATGCTTGGCGTCAGAATCTGTGCTAAAGGTAGAAGCTGAAAAAAAAGGTAGAAGCTGATCTTTCTTGTGTGTTTCAGATTACATGGCCTTTTCCTATTAGGCCACAATTGTTCTCCACATGTTCTCCTTTCCCCCAGTTTCTATCACATGTAGAGAGAAATTCTATCTCTCACGGAATACTCGTTCAGATTTGAACTTACCATCCAGGGGACTGGAGAGAGAGTAGAACGGTTAAGGAACTGTCTTATATGCAGCCAACCCAGGCTCATCCCGTGGCACCACATAGGGTGCCCTGAGCCACCCCCTCCAGGAGTGACCGTTGAATTCTGAGCACAGCTGGGTGTGGCCCCCACAAAATAATGTTTTTGTTAGCCAAAGACAAGCCACCTCTCTGGTGAAGATTATGGGCCAGTCACAGGTCAGGGAAGGCTTTGAAAGGTCTGAGTATACTAACTCGAGGAACTCCTCAGGCTTCTGTAAAGTCAAGGATTGAATAATTTCTTAAAATCCATTTTTGCTCTTTAAAAAATTATTATCGAATTAGCTTCATTATGACATTATATGAATTTCAGGTGTGCATCACAGAAAATCAAGCTATGTATATAAAGTTTTCCACCGAAGATCCACTTGACTTGATGCACTTCCTTATACGTTTGTTCCTTTTGTCTCCATTTACCGACCCTTCCCTTCTGACATCTACTAATTGATCTGACACACAGATAAAGACAAGGCGTATACACGGGACAGAACCTATTCATTGATCTAAATTTATTCAGTTTATCAGTATGTTTTTTAATATAACAGATGAGTGAAATCATGTGGCATTTGTCTCTCTTCGTCTGATTTCACTGAGCATGACACCCATGTTGTTGCAGACGTGGGCTTCATCTTGTTGTAACTGAATGGGCTCCGTTCTGTGTATCTTTACCCACATGCCAGTCAGTGGACTCAGCCTTTCCGATTCTTGGCTATTGCCATTAGTGCGATAATAAACATGGGAATGCTTGTTTCTTTTCAAATTACTGTTGGTTTTTGTATCTTCTGAGTAAAAATCCAAAGTGGGATAACCGAAACATTTGAAATTTCATTTTTAGTTTTTATAGTCCATTTCCATCCTCTTTCCATAATGGCTACAATGACTGCTACACCAGTTAACATTTCCACGAACATTGTGTGTATGTGTATGCAAACACTTTTATTTTTATTTGGGGGGAGGGGGTGCACCACACACCGCTGTGCCCAGACTTAATCCTGGCTGAGTGCCCCAGGGGTCACTCCTGGAAGTGCTCAGGGGCTATGTAGTACCAGGATCAAACTGGGTCTGCTGATATCAGTTGTCACCTAAAAATGTTTGTTTCAGGGACTGGAAATGTTAATAATTCAATCTTGTCTCTCATCTTCACTCTCTGTTCTTCTATTCTAATTTATGTATGTATGAGAGAGAGAAGTGAAGTTTCTTTTTTTTTTTTTTGTCACACCAAGCAATGTTCAGGGGTTACTCCTGGCTCTGCCCTCAGGAATTACACCTGGCGGTGCTTGGGGTACCATATGGAATTCCAGGGATCAAACCCAGGTCAGTCGCATGTAAGGCAAACACCCTGCCCACTGCACTATCGCTCCGGCCCCAAGAAGTGAAGTTTCAAAAGCAAATACATGGCTATTGTTTTGTATTCTTTCATATACTGAGAAGACAATATCTACAGCAGAAAATGATCGAATATTCAAATGGTCTCAAAAAAATAAAACATGGTCCATTCGTAGCATGTGAAACCTAACTCTCAAGTTCAAATTCTCGTTCTGCCACTTACTGACCTTGAAAATTAGGCAAGTTTCTTGACTTTCTGTCTTGATCTCTTTTCTTTTCCCTCTAATATTTGGGTGAAACGGCCACAGAGGACTCCCAGCTGAGGGGGGGGGGCTTGTTAGCCCTGCTGGTGTTCACATGATGGGCTTCACATGTTCTCAGCTGCGGCGTTCACCAAGATTTGCATACCTTTAGCTGTCCTACTTGAAAACATGCTCACAAGTACCTGTGAGCCAGAGCACATAAGTATGGTTGTGGTGCTCACCGGAGGTTGTACTTCCTGTCCATCACACTCACCTTCTTTTGGGACTGCTGTCAGCTTTCAGATGCAAAATGCACACCGTCCATTGAGCTCTCTCTGGCCCTCTCCTTTTGGGTGCTCACACACACCTGGTTTTCAATATGTATGGAATTTCAAATATCAGACCTGCCTACACCACACCCAGCACATGGAACACTGTAAATTTGGACATGTGACCATATGCTTGAAAGGCAAGCCCTCCAAACCACTGTGCCCTTTCTCTGGGCCCTGGTTCCTCCATCTCTAAGATGGAGATAATAATCTTTTATAAGTCACTGTGATGATTAAATTGTTCATGTGAAGTTTAGGCTCAGTGCCCGGCCTACAAAGGCTCACAGTGCTGCCAAGGCAGTGAGCACCCCTCTGGGCGAGACAGTGAGCACCCCTCTGGGCGTTCCACAGTCAGGTCCTTTTGAGTAGGTAATAAGGCATTCCAGTTTTTTAATCCTCTCGGAGCCTAAAATTCATCTAGAGCTTGTTATGTCCAATGTAAGTCAGTAAAGTAAAAGTAAAGTAAAGGCCCTCCCATTGATCATCGATTTGCTCGAGCGGGCCCAGTAACGTCTCCATTGGAGACTTTGTTGTTACTGTGTCTGGCATATCAAATAGCACAGCGGGTAGGGCGTCTGCCTTGCACGCAGCCAACATGGCCAACCCGAGTTCGATTCCTCCGCCCCTCTCGGAGAGCCCGGCAAGCTACCGAGAGTATTCAATATGCCAGACACAGTAATGTAAGTCAAAGTGATAAAAATCAGAGCCAAAACCTGGGTCTGCCGAGGACCACCTTTATATTGAAAGAATAATTCAAACAATACTTCTCATTGCCATATTCAAGTACAAGACAGTACTTCTCCTTGTCATGTCACTAGAAGAATCAAAACCAAGCCACTGATGAGGTAAATGAAAAGTGTTTTTTTTTTTTTTTGGTTTGTCTTTGGGCCACACCTGGTGGTGCTCGGGCTGACCCCAAGCTCTCTGCTAAGGGTTCACTCCTGGCAGGACTCAGGGGACTGCATGGGGTGCCGGGGATCAAATCTAGGTCAGCTGTGTACAAGGCAAGCTCCTGACTACCCCCCAAAAAAGTGTATTTTCCATTACATTTTGATTGATTACTTTGTGTTTTGTCTTCCTAATACCTGAGTTGAAGGGAGGAAGCCCTGCAGAGTTGCAGCATAGTTAAATGAGGAGGAGGACACTATCATTGACCGCGTTTATCAAACTCATGATGTTTATAGTGCATCGGTTATGTGGATTTACTAATCCTCACAGTAACCTGCGAGTGAATTACATTATTCACATTTTACCAGTGAGGAGATTGAGGCCCCTTGGGTTTCTGAATTTGCCAAAGGTCATTCAGTATTAGGTAAAACCAGCAGTCAAACATAGTTTTATCAGATTCCAAAGCCCAGGACAGTATTTTTTCTTCAAACCCCCTTCTAAATCTGTATGATTGAAGGATTAGTCTCTAGTCTAAGAAACATAAACAGTGTTGGAAGTGGGTATTGAACCATTTCCAAGTCAAAGTTTGCATGCATTTCATTAAAAATTGAGTCACGGGGGATGGAGCGATAGCACAGCGGGTAGGGCGTTTGCCTTGCACGCAGCCGACCCAGGTTCGATTCCAGCATCCCATATGGTCCCCTGAGCACCACCAGGAGTAATTCCTGAGTGCAGAGCCAGGAGTAAACCCTGTGCATCGCTGCGTGTGACCCCAAAAAGCAAAAAAAAAAGTCATGGGGTCAGAGAGATACTGCAACAGTTTAGGCACTTGCCTTGCACACGGCTGACCTGGATTCATTTCCCAGGTCCCACGGGGTCCCCCAAGCAACATAGGTGTAACACCTGAGCACAGAACCAGGAGTAGTCCCTGAGAACTGCAGAGTATAGCCTGAAACAAAGCCCAAAAATAAATTGAATCACTATTTTAAACATAATATTATGTGAATGTGAGCTCTGGAAAATTTTCTCAAGCTAGTACAGTAGTGTAGGAGATAGAGAAATTTATTTAAGGAAACCTCCAACT